TTAGGCGAGATGTTTGAGGTTAGTTGTTTTGTATTAGGCTATGAGCAGGGTTTTACGGGGTGTTTCTCCCCACAGGTCCTAGTTCTCTTATCCGAGTTCATTTGTGAGGGAAGTCAGCATGGCGGCTGTTGGAAGTACGCAGGAGTGCACCTGAGATGATACCTGACAACTCCCCAACAACCCCAGCCACTGAACACCTGCAGTGTGCGCTGTTCGCCAGAGCCCCTCGCCAAGAGGGGAAAGGAACAGTAGGCTTGGTTTTAGGCAGAGCAGGATCAGGTGTGAGCAGCACAGGCTTACGTAGCAGAGAGATGTAATTATGGGTGGCAATCACAATAAAAAAAACCTGATAGGGCTGTTCTTTGTCTTATCACTGACCTTTGGGAGTTCCAGCAGCTGTAGCTGAATGTTTCCTGCTGTAAAATGTACAGTGTTCTTTGAGGCAGTTTTAGTGTCTTCAGTGGTTGCATAAAAACAAAGCAAAAGAGCAAAGCTCTTGTGTGGTTTATTGCAATAGAAAAAAATAGTGATTATTTTATTTCCTTATAATATGGGCCTTTCTACAGTAAGTTCAAAGGAAGTGCCTCCTGATTACTTGCAGGTGATCTTCCTTCTGGAGCAAAATATGGCCACTTGTGCTTGTGTAACTATTGCATTCTTGCAGATCACTTGGCATATCTGGCTTTTTCAGCAAAGAGCCATAAGTCATTTCATAAGGGTTTCTGTTTTTTTAAAAAAAACTTGTGCTTGTTTTCTAAGCTTTGTGGAGTAAAGGACGCAAAAATTCCTACTTTCAGTAACATGTATTATTCTGACCGGCATATTAAGGAATTTCTATTGAAAAGGAAAGTTTTGCTGGTAACTTTTGTGGCAGGAGGAATAGTGCTGGAGGAGTGGTTATAGCCTTCTGGTGGAGCCTTCCCTGGAGTTCAGCTACATTGCAGTAAGGCTTAGGACCCTAAAGGTTAATGTTTGTCTCTTCCCTGGAGTTGGTTTATGTGGACGCTGTGGAATTCTGCAGAGTACATTTCCATGGTATTTAGGTTTTTGTGTGGAGGGGTCAGTGCTGGGGTGAATAAAGGCTGAAAAAGCTGAACTCTTAGGCACATGTAGACGTGTGCTTTTCTGCAGGGCTGGCTACAGATGAGGGGTTTTATTGTTGCAGCTGTATTTGTGCATGCTTGAGGAGGGAGGCTGTGAGAGCTCTGCAGCAAGAGCTGAGGTGTGAATCTGCTCTTTCCTCAGTGCATGTATGGCATGTGACCAGCCAGGGCTCTTAGGTGAGGGTTTGCTTCTTCCTGTGCAAGGTACAAACATGCAAGCAACAAAAAAGCTACAGCTGTGGCCAGAACATAGCACAGCCTCCAGCTTTTGATTGTTTTACCAGATTGTTAAAAGTTTCAAGGCTGTGATTAGCAGCCGTTCCCTTAAAGAAGAATCTTGGTTTGAGTACCTGCATCTCAAGGGGCTGTTGGTAACCACTTTTTCAAAATGCATTTTTCTTCCTCCTTCTGGAAAACAGAATCTCCCTTATAATAGTGATAATTAACACCCAGTGGTAACTTATCCATGTCATCACTCATTGTAAAAATATGTGGTGTGTAAGTGCCAGGCAGAAACATGGGTTATGTTTGCATGGTAGCATTGGGAGTGCCCCGAATGTCACTGGGGTTTTTTCCTTCCTTGCCATATAAGGAGAGAAGTCCTGCTCTGCAGAAGAGTAATGGGGCCATATAAGGCTGATTGGTAAATCCTTAGTGAGTTACTGGAGCAGGAAGTGAAAACTTGAACTTTAGTCACCCTGTGTTTTGAACCACATTTTCTGCTCTTATCATGATGAGCAGTCTTGACATGATAATAATTAACTTGAACATTACAAATTTCCCTAGGGTAGCCTTTATGAAGGGTCATTTTCTTTTCTTAAATGTGAAAGTTCAAATTCTTACTGTTTTAAAGCCAGAAGTCCAAAACCAGAGATTTTCAATACTACTTTATGATTACATAGCTAAATACTTTATATTTGGATTAATGTGGATCTCTAAGAGTGAAGTCTCTTCTCCTTCTGGTTCTGTGTTCACTGCCAATGTATTTTAATGTTCAAAGATATAATTGCTTCCCTGTTCATGTGTTACTTTCAGTCATTCTAGCTGGACATTGTTACTTTTATGCCAAAGGTTGTTTTATTTGTCTGGTTTGTAAGTTATTCTTTTTTGTGTTATGAACAGCAAAATCTTTGATATGGACAACTCTATCCAGCTACCTCTGGTTAGAGAAGAAAAACTACCAAACTGATACTTTTGGTATCCACTTTTGTCAGAGGGTTGGTTTTCCCCTCAGAAGACGTCATAGGAAATTCAGATGTGTAGTTCCTCACATATAGCAAATATATATAATAAATGTTTTCAGTACTAATTAAGTGTTATTCTCTGAAGTAATAAACTTTTTAGAATAGTTACCCTTTTATGTATACTTTGTGCTTAATATAGTGTTGAAAGAAAGTAAGTTTAATGATGAGGTTACCATAAGAAGAATGTTTTAGAACTCACATTGCAAACTTAGGTTTGGAGCTGTAATATATAATAGCTTGTAGTGATAAGAGGCAGATGAGTTGCAGGTGTTGTACAGAAAGTTAAGTGAACTGGTAATTTAATAAAGGCAAATTTAGGGGAAGATTGAGGATGGAACTATGGGAGGAAAAAAAAAGGATGTTTGAAGGGATAGCTGCCTGTACTAGGGTCCTTGCTGGTGCCTTTTTTGTCAACTCTTGCACAGCTTGCCTGTAAACAAAACCTCTGGGTGTTGGGGCACTTTTTAAATGTTCTCACACTCTCTCTGTGGCAGCTGTCTCGTTGCAAATGCTGATCCAGGTGTGTTTTTACATGTTTACACTGAACCCTTCTTACAGGACTCAAGGAAATGTTGGGACAATTCTTGCCAAATATGGTGAAAGGTCATAAATGAAGGAATTGGGGTAACAGAAGAATTGAGTAATTAGCTTGTGTTGGTTTGATTTGAAAAAGGGATGGTCTGTAATTAATGCCTGCAAATACAATAACAGAAAATATTTGGCTAATGGTGCATAATTCTTCCTGTGCAGTTCTTTCTAGTACAAATTGTACAGTCCTTGATGTGCTTCGTTGAAAGCAAGCATTAATCACTTTTTTCCTCTGTTGAGCAATAACTTCACAATTCAATCACGCACATCTCTGTGTATGGACTTTTTAATGGATGAAGTCAGAAATGACAAAGTGCTGTTAAATGGCACTAGCAGGTAATGGGGTAACCTTGTACAAGGGAAGATGTGTGCCTTACTATGAATTAATTTCTGGTTTTCCTGTGCTTAGGCTGAGAGTGAAGTAGCTTCTCTGAACAGACGCATCCAGCTGGTTGAGGAAGAGTTGGATCGGGCTCAGGAGCGCTTGGCCACTGCCCTGCAGAAGCTGGAGGAGGCTGAGAAGGCTGCAGATGAGAGTGAAAGGTGCGTGGAGCCACACCTGGATGGATTGTTACCCTTATGACAAAGATCATAATTGCCAGGGTGTGGGTTAGGGACATAAATTAAACCACTCCTAGGTCTCTGAATATGTGTAATCTGCTCTTCCTTTGCCTACATCTGCTTCAGTTACAGCTTGTCTGTAGAAATGTCCAAAGTATCTGGGCTTGGATTCTTTTCCAGTTGTGAAGATGACATTTAAGTGTGGTAGATCTTTTGATGTATCAGTCACATCCTGGCAAAACTCCTTGGCCCAGCCCAGACTTCTCTGGTTGGATGACAACTCCTTGTGACATTCTTGTGCTGTTGGGTGATTCTTGCTTTCATTGTGGGTAGAAAGTCTCACCTGGAGAGTAGTGAAGTGCTGGAAGAGACTTTGGTTCTCTTGGCAAGATTGGTATGTGAGGGTGAAGAAAGGAAAGAGACTGATAATTCCTTCAGATTTCCAGAAGTCTGTAGTGTAAGTTAGGAACTTGAGCTTCGTGACTTTGGAAGATCTTCTGTCTTCTTCCAATGGTGCTTTTTACCTGTGATAGAACCTTTTATTGTGAAAGAAACCCACACATTCTGCATGTGTGCTTCTACCTTACTAAGAATGGAGTCTGTTCAAAAGAAATTTTCGAGAGACTCACAGTGAGTTTTGAAACATATAAGGTAATTTTATATCAGGCCTGTGCAACACAGTGTTTCTTGTTATGAAGGATTTCAATTTTGCTTTTAGAGAGCACAGGGAGCTTCTAGGGCTCTGACATGGCAAAACCCAGGGGAGTCTGGCCCATAGACATGGCTCTTTTCAGTTCTGCAAGGGTTCAACATGCTGTTGATGAGTGTAAAAGCACAGCTGCTTTCAGTCTTATTAGGTCTGTAGAAGCAACACCCTTTGTTAACCTTTCTGTAAGAGGAATTTTTCCTGCAGTTTAAAATGAAAAAGAATTCTACAGCTGAATTACAGTAAGAGCTAAACAAATCACACTTTTTCTTTCTTCCTAAGTCATGTTTTGTTCCTTGAACTTCTTAAGTGCACAGGACTAAATCTATGGTGTGAGGACTCATGTGTCTGATGTGCTTCACTCACCTGAATACCACTGTCTGAAAGTCACATACCTCAAGGAGTAGAGCTGGAGATAAACTGGCAAACCCTGAACCTTGCATTTCCTGTTTTTCACGTTTTTCAGAGGAATGAAGGTCATTGAAAACAGGGCCCAGAAGGATGAAGAGAAGATGGAAATCCAGGAGATCCAGCTCAAAGAGGCCAAGCACATTGCTGAAGAGGCTGACCGCAAGTATGAAGAGGTCAGTCCTTGAGTGCAGGTCATCTCTCTCTGAAGCCCATGAGGCTGGACCTGGAATTTTTGTTTTTCTCTTTTGCCTTTTAACTTCAAAAGTTCACAAACACCCCTCTCCACAGCTATGGAAGGAAAATCAGGCACTCAGATGCCTCAAGGGACAAGGTGACAGGAGATCTGAGCTTAGATCTTTCACTAAACTGGTGATCTTCCATTCACCAGTTACGTTCTGGTGAATGAAAGGGAGGCCTTGAAAAATGTCAGTAACGAAGTCTCAAATGAATAATGAAGATATCACATAATCTAAACTCATGTGTTGACCAAGAAATGAAGAGGCCTGGCCTCCTGTTGGTAGGTTCTAGGAGCAGGTGAGGTGCAGTGCAGCAGCATCCCTGATTGTGCCTTGCCTGTCCTTGCAGGTGGCTCGTAAGCTGGTGATCATTGAGAGCGACCTGGAGCGCGCTGAGGAGCGTGCTGAGCTATCAGAAAGGTAAGTGTGGACCTGCCCTGGCATCTGTGTGAGGTGCTAGAAGAGAACTATAACTGCATGAAACGTTGGCAGCACACTGTGTGTTCAGCTCCAAGCTATGTTTTGCTCATTTACTGTAATGGTGAGATAAATGGTCGGTGCCAAAGTAAATGTGTTCTGTGTGTGTGCGCGTGTTTTGTCACTGCATGCTGTACCTGCACACTGATTTTGTGAATGGCTTTTGTGCATTTCATGTGTTCACTAACAGCCAAGTCCGACAGCTGGAAGAACAGTTAAGAATAATGGATCAAACCTTGAAAGCATTAATGGCTGCAGAGGATAAGGTACTGATACTAATAAACAGTTTTTAGGTTTAACTGCAACCCAAGTGTTTCAGCTTCCATAGCCAGTTAGCTCACTCAGTAGTAACAAATAAGTCCTTGCTATGCTCTTTACTCTCTCTTTGCATCTCGCTTTGGTGGTTTTCTTTGGTCTCTTTTTTGTTTATTGATTTTTATCTTTAAAACTGATCTCCTGTGCAGCCAAAAGAAGCTGAACTGTCTCACGTGTAAAAGCTCTGTAAATGTTTCTGTGTAAGCCAAGAGCTGTAGATAAATTTCTGTCTGGTCATTGTCTTAATGTGCACTTGAACTGGTATTTGGCATCACAAAGAGCTGCTTTCAGTCTGTGATGGATCAGCTGCTTTTGAGGCCATTCTTTTGCCCTGTAATGGTTTTCATTTTTCTCTATCTTTTCCCCCTATTTTCTCCTATTTCTTTTGCTTGACTGAATCTTCCATCCTCCCCTTTCCTGCCTTACCTCCGAAATAACAGCAAATGTGCTGAGCTTGAAGAGGAGTTGAAAACTGTGACCAACAACCTGAAGTCGCTGGAGGCTCAGGCTGAGAAGGTAGGCTAGAGACTTCTGTGAGAATGTGTCCCTTACACTGCCATCTGGCCTGTGGGGTTTTCTTTGTATGCCAATCACTTTGCAGCATTTCTCCAGGGCTGTTGTCAGTAGAGGCATTTGGATTTACTACTCAGTTCCATACATAGCATATTTTGTAATTCCAAATAGGTCAGTATTATTTGGCCACATTGGTTCTGTTGAGTATTCTGAGAAGATTAAGTGTTAATTATAGAATGTCCCTCAGAATGGCATTGTGCACTAACATTAAATTTCTCCAAAAAACATTCCTCTTTAAAACTGCAGTACTAATTTCTTCTCAAAGTTCCCACCATATTGCACTGGAATGTAACTCAAGGAAAGTTTGACTCTTGTAATAAACCACGGCCTTCCAAGTGGAATTAATTTTGTTTTACCTATAACAATTTCTTGTGTTCACATAATCTGTTACAAGAGTTTCAAGGTGGGGTTTTGTTGGGTATATTTAGAATACCCATCTAATACCAGTGATCCTCTTTCTAATTACAGTACTCACAGAAAGAAGACAAGTATGAAGAGGAGATTAAAGTTCTGACTGACAAACTGAAGGAGGTAAAATGAGAGCTGTTCTTTGCAACATATTTTCCAGTGCACCTTTGATTCTTTTAGTACCAACACTACTTTGATGCTGGAAGGGTGAACATACCGTTTTGGAAACAGTTTGCTTTTAAATATCTCCCCTAGAAATTGGTTTATATTAGCCTTATTATTTGCCTCTTCTCACAGTGCTTTTTTCCCTCACTTGAATTATTTCTTTTCTACTCCTAAGTACTGTATGTGTTTCCTAAAGTAGTCTGTATTTGTCCTGACTGCAGGCTGAGACCCGTGCTGAGTTTGCTGAGAGGTCAGTAACCAAGCTGGAGAAGAGCATTGATGACCTAGAAGGTATGTGGGGCTCTTTTTCTACTTCCTGTGGAAATACATATCTCATTCTTCTCTTGCGTGAGGGTTTTTATTGGGTTTTTTTATTACCCAATTCTACTGGGCTGACTTGTCCTGCTTTTATAAATGGGTCTGCCTAAAGAGTAGACAAAATATTTTCCAAATGAAATGTATTAATATCTTCAATGCTTCAGGTGAACAGTGTTTTGCTCTTGCCTGTTGCTTTTTCTCTTATGTTCTCAAGACTCCTTCCATTTTTTTGCTTTATACTCTTCTATTTGGAAGTATATAAATGTTACAGGGTAAATGATCAGGTGACAAGTGTTATTATCATCTTAGTAAAGAACTGATGAAGAGTTGCATTATGTTTGCAATAGTTAGGAATGTAGCAAGCTAACCTAATTTATTACTGTGTTAAGTGTGGGTTGGGGCAGGCATTTTGTGACATAGACCAGTTATTGGGTTTTGGTAAAGCTAATAGATTGTATACATAATCAGAAGGATTATTCAGCTTCAGAGGTTTGTTTGTAAGGTTTTGATAAATCTGCCAGAACTGCAGCAGAGTAGTAGAATGTGCTTTCTGCCTCTGGAGAAAACAATTCAGTAGGACTTTGTAATTTGAAGTTCTGTGGAGTTTGCTATTTAGAGGCATTACACTAAGTGGAGGATTTGAAGAAGTTAAATTGCATGGTGTGGCAGGCTGGATTCTGCATGAAGGTGATGAAATGCCTAAGTAGCTGCTGAAAATTTATGATCCCTGACTCAGGAAGGAAGCAGAGAAGAAAGATAAGTGTTTAGAAAGAACAAAAATTGCTGTAAGAAGCTGAGTTTGAAATCACACAAGCCAGAGTGGTTTAAAAAAAAATGGTAGAAAATGGTACCATCCTCCTTGAGCCCCATTTTTGGATCTTTTCTCCCTAGCTCCTGTGTCTCCTCTTGATCAAAACAAAAAAGCATTAAAACAAAAATCCATGACACTGAAACATGGATTTTTGCTTCTTTTGTATTCTTTTGTATTCTTTTTTCTTGGTTTTCTGTATATCACAGGTTGCCCCGTTGGCAGTGCAGTTAATGAACTTGTTGCATAAAACTGTTCACTATTTTCTTGCGTAGAACTGTTCACTATTCTCTTTCTTTTATTCTTCTCTAATTTTGTTTCATTTTTCTGTCACAACACTTCTTTCTGTGCACTCTTCCCATTTCCTATGGCTTCTGGATGGTATCCCCATTTCACCACCTCACCTTCCATCCCATGACCCTGCTCCATTTCCTTGCACACCTCTGCTTTTGCTGGGGGAACACCAGATGAGCTCTATGCTCAGAAACTGAAGTACAAAGCCATCAGTGAGGAGCTGGACCACGCTCTCAATGACATGACTTCCATGTAAATGTCCTCCCAGCCCGTGCCTGCTGCTGCTTCCCTGCCCTCACTGATTGCGCACTTCCGCCCTTGTGAGATGATGCTCCCTGCGTGGTGGGAGATGCTTTCCTTTAGAGACAATAGGTGTACAAAATACCATGAACAATTGCTTTACCCTGGCAAAGTGTGGGTGAGTGTTGTGCCAAGCCTGGTAAATACTCATGGTGATTTTGTAAGCTTGTGGTTACTTTTTGATTCTGTGTCTGCAATCCTTGTGTCTTGTGGTTGCCCTTTGTTTGTAGCTCTGTGTTTATCCTTTCAGTTCACCTCTGTTCAAACATTATCTACCAGGCACATCATGTTTGTTTTACCAAAGAAAATTGCTGTGGTACGTGTTGCATTCAGTGTGTATTCCTTTGCCTGCTGTCACAATTTTTGCTCTGGCAAAGTTCCTGCAAAAATGTCAGAGAAATTTAGATTTAGCTGTATTCTCTGTTAATGACAGTAGAAAGTGTTTATCTAAATTTTCATAACTGCTCTGAAAATTTCAGTTGTTATCACTGAATTCCATGTGTGGAAATGGATTGAAAATACCTTGTCATTTCAACCCATAAAGGCAACAATTTGTAGGTTTCTTCTGGATAACAGTAGTAATTTTATTTGCATACACCAAAACTGTGGTAATACCAACTTTAGTCATAAGGAGAAAAATAAAGAGTGGCAGGAAAGTCAGCAGCTGTAAGAAAGGTGTGACTGCTCAGTGCAGAGTTTGACACAAAGTGACTCTGAACAGAGGTCAGCTGTGCCACCTCCACCTTCCCATGCATGGACACTGCAGCTGACACGGGACAGGGGAAGAGCTCTGGCTCTCAGCTGCTCAGGAGCTTTAGCAATGTTTACTCCCAGCATTCCCTTTTGGAAACCCAGGCATGCTTTCAACTGGACATAAGGTTTGCTTATGTCTTAGAGCTTGAAACCTATTTTGTTTGCACCCATATTTTAAATGGCTTTTTCTTCTTGTTGTTTTTATCCCCATGTCTGTTCATTACTTTCCTCCTTCTCTCTACCAACATTTTAGTAGAGGTCTCATGTTGCCTGCTTTGTATGCTTTGATTTTTTGTTTTTAAATTCCTCCCCAACATATGGTTTTGCTTAGTGGCTTATCAAGCAAATGGATTTCTTTTTTTCCTCCTCTTTATACAGAGATTACAATATTTCTTCAATTTGGGATATTTCTAAGTGGAAAACAGACTTAAAATTGTAGTCTACTGGTATATGAGGACCTGTCTGTATCATTCCAGTCCCAGCATGGTGTGCAGTTTCTCTAGCATAGTCATCTCAGCATGCTGGGCTCTGCTGTGCCATTGCTGCTTTTTTTGAAAGTCTTTACTGCACCTTTTTTCATTTTCTACCTTATCTCACTTTTTCTTTTCATGCAGATAATTTTCTTTGCTTCAGTTCTCCAAAGACATCTTCATCGGGTTGGATAAAACATCTTTCCAAGCTTTGGATGTTTCATGGGCTCATTGTGCTGTCTTCTAGCTTAGCTGACTCTTCCTCTATCACCTGTCTCAGAACATGCTCTGTTTGTGCTCTGCTGTACAGAAACTACATTTCTCAATGTAAAATAAATATCCCAGCTGTATCCCTTTTGCTATTCCTTTGCCTTTTATTTATTTAAGTAACTATTTAAGTTATTAATAAAATTTGCCCTTTTATGCCATTAGGGATTTCATTTTTTGGTGTTTTCATTTTTTAGCTGAAAACACTTTTGCCTGAACGTTGACAATGCCAAGCCAGCCAGTGCTGTGTGTGAAAACTGACCAGTTATTATCTGAGTTTTTCTCAAACTCTGCTGCAGATAAAATGACAAATAGATGTAATAGGAACTCTTCTAGTTGTTATTGTTAGGACAAAATTTGCAAGGTCACTGCTTCCTTGGGGTCATTGGTCGTGGGAGCATGGCTGAGGGAGCAGTTACATCCTTGATGGAACCAGATTTTTCACTTTAAAGCCTGAAATCTTTTCCTAGCTTTATGCTAAAGACTTCTTATCTCTATTTAAATGTCTTTGTTCATTAACTTATATATTTGAAACAGATTTAAAGAGGCAGCATCATAAACTTTAAATTTTTTTTTCACCCAAAAATAATCCTTGAAATGTCTTGCAAAAAAGGTTTTCCCTCTTTCACACCTCAGTTATTCAGCAAAGATGATGCTTGCTAACATTCTGGGGTTTTTACAATACATTTTTCTTGAGTGGCATGGTAGTATTGGAAGTTCATTGGGGAGGTTTCAGTAGCTTTTTAGCTTTAGTTCAGACTTGTGAGTTTGAATTGCAGATTTATGAGAAATGTTTCAAAGCTGGAGTAGGAAAATTCTATTGATGATGCTATTAATGAAATTACTCTGCTGCAAAGTGGAACATCATGGATTTCTGGTTTCAGCTGATTTGTCACTGTCTGATTAAGGATGAAGCATTAAATACTGACATCTTGTGCTCTTTTTGTATTATTTGCAACTAAGGAGTTTATTGCCTTATTTTAACTTTATTTACATCACAGTGAAAGAAGTTATTTTCCAGTTCACATGGAAGCAAAACCCAGATTGATTTCTGGTGATACTCTAACTCTATATATTGCTAAAGTTCCTAAGTCACCAAAGCTAAATAAATTCCTTATACCATAGCTGAACTGTAGTTTTTAACTTTTAGAATAATGTAAATATCTCTTTCTTGTTCAGCTTCAAGACAGTGCAGTCTAAAGTAGATTTTCTCCCCTCCTCAAAACTTGTTTTCCCAGTAAGGCTTGGGATGGATACATGCCCTTCCTGGCCTGCCATCCTTGGATAACTTTGGCATTTCCCAGTTCTCTACCTCTGACACATCCTAATGTTGCTGGCTGGGGGCAGACCCCCAAATACAGGATACAAATCAGCAATCACAGACAGTTCAAGTAATCAAGTTCAGTAATTTACTACTCCTCAACTGCCACAGTAAGTGGCTGTGTGTGAAGGGCAACCAGATAGAATGGGATATATAAAAGTTAACCAAATATAATGGGATGAGCATTTGTAAAATGACTGAGGCTAATAGCTTCACAAATGCAGGAGTTAGGGGATTTTGGTCAACTGTAACTTGTCATCTGAGCCAGAGTAAAATATGCTACAGCAACTCCAGCTACTTAATCTATTGTGTTTTGGTTCATTGTTTTAGCAGAGTTTTTTTGTCCACTCAATTCCTTGCAATAGTGGTGTCTCTTACGAAAAGTAAACAAAAAAGCAAAATCCATTGTAGGACCTGTCAGTTTTTAACACAGTAATTTTAAACATCAGTATTAAAATTTTGCCTTTTGTGTCAGTCACACATGATCAGCCCTGCACTGAGGGATGACAGAGCACTGGCAATGAGCAGTGCAGTGCAGAGCCCCAGGAAGCTGCATGCAGAATTCCTGCTGCTCTGATCCTCACTGCAGGGAGCTGCTGTGGCTCCCTGCTCAGCACTCCTGTCACCCTCACCTGTGCTATTGTACCTGCCATGTCTGGCTGCTTTTGTGCCTGAGGCTTCTTCCCAGGGGTGCAGGGCTGGCTCTGGGCTCTGCTGAGCTCTGCTGGCTCTGCTTGGCTGCTGGGGCTCCTGCAGAGCCAGATCTGCCTCTGGAGCACATGGACACACGGCCCATGGAATCCAGGGCTCACTGTACTCTTGGGAACTGCTTTCCCTGCTTTGCTGGGGGATATCCAGGGCTCACTGTACTCTTGGGAACTGCTTTCCCTGCTT